AACCGCGTACTTCGGTTTACCTGTACTGTAGATCCTTCAAAAATAATACTGTAAATAAATTAAAAAAAATAATAAAAGGCTCCACACTAACAAATTTTAAGTGACAAAGTTGCCTGAATTGCCCATGGAAATGGTGATGTCATATCACATACATAAATGGACATGATGATGTCTTATCTCATCCATATATGGAGATAATGATGTCATAATAACCAAATATGGGAAAGTTACAGTTAGGCCTATTTGTCACATGAAGTTTAATAGTGTGGATATATCTTAAAGCCTATTTAATTCATATACATCTGCTGATTTCGAAAAACAGAATTAATAACGCTGAGATAGGAAATTATGGGTTGTTGGTGAATAAATATATAACTTATATAAATACATAAATCATAATCCTAGCCATAAAAATATCACTTCACTAAGTGACATTTGCACAATGATGTCTCACCATTTATGAACCACTCGTCAAATGAGGGCGGCACATAAAGAACGGTCAATGTAGGAATGGGGTATGCAGGTTATTATGATCTTAGTGATGTAACGTCCCAGTAATAGTTTTTAGGGACAGATGGGTCATTGAGACGTTATAGCGTCCCTTCTTTGCAACACGTAGTTTGATTAGGGTGGGGTATGCGGGTCATTTCATCTATAGCGTAGAGACGTCCCTACCCCATGATGCATAGTTCAAATTGTATGTAGGCCTATTTTGCATATTTGCCCAAGATGGCACCATTTGTTCTGCAATTTGAATTGCATTAGTACACCTACCAATGAGTATTGATACCGGTAACTAGCATTGTTATATACATTGTTAATGTATTGCATTAACCGCTACTGGGGGGGGGGGATTCAACACTAGTCACCAAGTACAGTAGTCTAGTCGTTATGACACCAGGCTAGTTATCTGGAGGTGGTTGGTCCGATTCTCAACTGAATCACTTCCGATTTTTTTGTTCGCTAGTATTTTGAAACGTATGGTTCTGTGTATTCAGTACTATAACACATCAGGTAGGGTAAAACATCATTCCAACAATATTATTGTTGACAAAACTATGAAGTGTTTTAAATTTTGTTAAAAATTTTGTTAATTTTGTTACTCCTGAACACCCAAACAAGTATAAACTGTACATATGTTCATCTTTCCATAAACAAAGGCACATAATAAAGTGGATATTGCTGTGCACATGTAGGCAATACACAGAAACATTTTTAATACCAAAAAAAAAAACAACTGAAAAACTAATACAGTGTATTGCTTTTTAAATAGATATTTATTAATAAACAGGATTACAAAAATAGGTTATAATTTGGATGCTAATAATTTATTACTATTTTGTTATTATAATTTTGTAACAATACCTAATACCTCTTTATAAGAATGGTTGTGAATACTGGTATTTATGCTACAGTAAAGTTTGTCAAACCACATGTTGAGGTACCACGAAGATTAAGAGAAAATATTAGATTTGGTCTTATACTTTCTCGTTGATGATTTACAATCAATTCGTCGCTCACATCACGAACTAACACAATTAAATTCAATTGTGTTAGTTCGTGAAATCAAAAAAGCGCGTCAAAATACGCGCTGTTGTTGTTAAGGACTTTTTGTGTGGTAAAGAATAAAAAATTGCTTGACAACCTATACGCGCTCGTTTTGACGCGCTACTGTGATTTCACGAACTAACACAATCAACTTTGATTGTGTTAGCTATACAGACCTACTTTAAAGAGCCTATTTATTTATTATGCAATTTCTAGGAAAATTCTGGCTGTGCAGTTTCAAAATAGAGATCTTTGTAATCATTGTTGCTTTTGTACACATTTTGAATACATACAATTGATCTGGTGATGTTGAGCTGACTTCTATGGACTGGTGGAGGATTTTGATATGTTGTACCAGAGATACTAGAAACACAAGATAGAGTTCTCCACATAAAAATACTGTTCCACCGAAATGCAATGTGGAAATGTAAACAATGGGGCGCCGCGTACGGCTGGATTTAAAAAACTTATGTCAGCGTTACACAACTGTGAATACATAACCTCCTTTTGCAGAGGTAGAAATAGTTGCCATTATCCATAAGATACAATAAGTAGGCATTAAATAAATCAAAACAATAAAATGACAGACACCAAAGCGCAGAATCGTATGACCGAGCTCTGATTAGTGATAACGTTTTCCTCCATTAATGGAAAAAGAAGGGCGCCGTGTGGGTCTGGATCATAGAGTTATTAAACAACTATGGTCTGGATATACGTCTGAACCAATTTCCGCCTCATTTTTGCTGTGCGAGGGCTCTATCATGTGTTTCTAGTAACTTTGGTTGTACGTAACTGAATTTTCTAAAGCTCTGTCCCCACTATCAGATATTATACGACAAATAAATGTGATGTGCCTAAATATATGGGCATGGCGATGCTTTACTGCACCTGAATATGAGTGTGTCACCTTTATTTGTCACATAAAATGTGATAGTTAAGACACTGAAGGGGATGTTTCATGATGAAAACTCTTCGGATTCAGTGTCTTACAAAATCAGGTTACAACTTAGCCAGACTTTAAGGTAGCTTAGAAATTAACGATAGCTTATAGTGAGTCAATATGTTTTAAAAGATTGTAGTTGGTATTACCTGTAGCAGTGGAATTGTGTCCAGTACAGAGGGCACTGCTGGGCAGCTTCAGTTCCTCTTGATCCTGATGCCAATGCAATGACCACAGCCAAGGTCATAGCAATACGCAGCATGGTTACGCCTATAGCACATGAATTAAACGTTTGCGGAAAGATCTGTAGGCCGTAACTTTAACGAGGCATGAGTGAAGCACGTATAATGAGACGTATAACTTATTCAATTCAATCTTTTAATTCAGACAAATTGACAAAAGTCCATGTTAAACATACAACAAAAATAGAGTAAAGGAGTAAAAGCAATGGAATAACCAAAAAAAAAAAATGCCATGATTAAAGAAAATTAGGAATGAGAAGTTGTCTTCATATCATTACAGAAAAACACAAAATACAGCAAAAACTCTCACATTTGATCTAACGAATTTGTATCAGTCAACATGCGTTCCGTAAAGCCACAGACTTTCTCAAATATTCATAAAAAGGTAGAATTCCCATTAACAATTGTTATAATTTAAAATCGTCAAACACACACGTAGAACCAACTTAATTCTAATGCAAATACAATGCAAATTTTGTTTATTTTTTACAAAAGAAAAACAAGAATATGCATAAAATAACCATAATAAACGCACAGGACACCAAATTGTTCTTGTTAAATTAGTGGGACCAGAATTGGAAAATTATATTATTTATTATTAACGAAAATAATCATTTAAAATTATTGAAAATGTATACAAATTTAAGCTAGAAAAACACTCCATAATCGAACTTAAAAAATCTATTTAAAGTTCTATACATGAACATCATGCACAATATAGTACAGTATAATACATACTCCAAGTATCTAAATATACGCCGTCTTGTCGGGATTCAATATTTCGACATTAATTATGTCATCATCAGGAATCATGTACCATTATTGTAATATGGGTTTTATAACGTATTGTAACGGAACGGGTCCTTTGTCAGGATTACGAGTTCAGCCAGAGCCCTGGGCCCTGGACTTCAGAAAAAAAAGAAGTGAATAACGAAATAACAAACTCAAGATTCTCACTCTCAGCGCGTCGAACTATTCAGTATTTATCCTCGAATAATTCAATAAATTTCAACAGTGATCACTCACACTTCATTATTACTCCGACACTGAAACCACAAATAAGACAGAGGCAGACATATAGAATCCCAAACAACTAACTAGGTACCGTATTTTACGGATCATCCCGTTTTACTCCTGAAGAATTCTCAAGCATCAATCCTACCCCCTCCTAAAATTATAGCCTGAGTTCCTTGTGCTAATGTTGGGTTACTCACTATTTTATTGTGCTTAGTGCGCGCCATACCTAATTTAATTGGCGTCTAATAATCGACTCCTTTTTTGAGGGGTCCGCGCAAAGCGGACCACAGAACCTTGTTGTTGTTGTTTTTGTTGTTACCAAAACTTTTAAAAGCGCCGCCAGTTTTGAACGGACATGCTGAAAGTTTTGTACACATAAACTAGAAGTGATTCCCAACAAACGTTTATGGCTTCTTTTAAGTTGGACCCATGGTGCCCCATACACCAACAAAACAAAACCGGGGTTTCAGCAAAGACTAAATTACTAATGACATGACACGTGGCATAGATGGCGTGGTCGGTTAGCGATGTGTTCTCGGGAACCAAAGGTCGTGAGTTCGAATTGTACAGTATAATAATTGAATCGTACAGTATAATACATACTCCAAGTATCTAAATATACGCCATCGTGTCGGGATTCAGTATCTCGACATTAATTATGTCATCATCAGGAATCACGCACCACTATTGTAATATGGATTTTATAACATCTTGGTATCCAATTTTCATTTTTTTTCTTCTTCAATTTTAGGACAATTTTATTTTCTCAATTTTAGGACATTTTTTGGTACAAATGAAGATTCTACGTAAACTTAATTCTTTTTGCAATTGCCCACTAGTTTTACTAGGGCCTATTTTAAATATTTCAGGCCCGTTTTATTAGGAAAGACTATTTTTTAGCCATGCCTAACTAGTCGCCGCGAGTGACTTAGTTTGGTGGTTCCGCAAAAATGTGAACATTGTGATTGGTCAAAATTGTTTGTTTCGGTCCGCTCATTTATCCAAATATGGAATATAAGATTATCACATTCGTTTGACATCCTGGTACCTGCATTCAGTGTTTTACAATTACCGTCTCCGTCTCTAAATTAATTTTCACGTTGGTGGGGTGCTGTCCAGAATGAGGAAAAAAATAATAAGAGACTTGTGGCAAGTCTATTTGAATCCCAAACTGTACTCAACTTATGTAGTTAATTTGCACTTCTTGCCCAAAACAAATATTGGAGGGTCAATCTAATTGGTTAGATTAAAGTTTGGGCTGATTCATTTCATATGTGGGTTAGTCCATTCCCAATTACCTTGGTGGTCCCGGGGAAAATCCCAAATTTCGTTACAGCATTTATAATGTAATATCTAAGCTTTATAAATGTAATTTTAAAATTTTTGTATCTTAGAAATAAGGTTGCAAAGGTTTTTCCAACGTTGTGTTGACATCAATGTCGGTGAATGTTATTATAACTTCATAGACCGCAGCTCCCTGGAGTCGGTGTTCTGACAATATTGTTTTTCCGTTCATTGTACCTTACTTTGAATTCGGTCTATGGCCTGTTTTGTGAGACTCATACGGTCAATCTGAAAAATCAATATAGTATTAGCATGTTTATTCCATTTGTGTTATTTGTAGGGGCTTGGTTAAAAACACTTGATGACAGATTTTTGTTTAATTTGCTTTTCCTCCAACCCCGTTAAACCCATTTTTTTGTTTCTTTGTCGACAGATTGAAAATAAATTAATATAAATAAAATTTAATCATAAAATTAGTAGAAATCTTAAAAGGTCTTACCTTTCCAGTAATCGATTTCGGAAAACTGTCAAAAATCAACACATAGCCAGGTACACTTTCTTCGAGTCTCACCTAATAAAAGAATTTAATTTTCCATAAGCAAACAAAAAAACAAAAAAAAAAAAAAACATAACAAAACAAAATAATAATAAATATATAAATAATTATATATATATAAAATATAAATCCTACAATAATCATGAAATTAATATAATATGCGGACATTCTTGTTGACGTTTTGAAATAAACGTTTAAAACTATTTGTACGATCTAACATAAGACAATTATGAGTAAGGTCACTCAAAATAACATCGTTATTGAGTTTACGCACCTTTCCAGTTAGGTGAGAGACAATCTGGTCTTTTTCAATGATGGCGTTCTTCTTTGTCCTATTTTCATAAATAAAATAAATACTTGTAACTATAATGAAGCTACGATTATAACAAATAACCTTTATATAGTTATAATAATGAAGTATGGTAGTATCTAATGCACAGTGATTCCACTGTATTAAAATTATATAATGAGTATAATAGTCTTACATACCTTAAGCAAATACAAATTTCTTCAGATAGGCGCTCATCCGGTACCCCAATTACCTGGCAAATATTAAGCAATAGATAACCAACATTAAATCACTCACCATGGGAATCAACGAGAACATAAATGACACAATGCACTGTTCCGCTAAGCTCCGCCCCTTGGATATTATTGCTATGGTCCTACGACAGTGTAGATGTACGCAGACACGTGCGTTACTACTATACTCGGGGCAGGGCGAAACACGTACTACTGGGCCTATTTCTGGATCCATTTATGTCATTATTGGAATAGGAGCCTGATGGGGTAGGGGAAGTGCGAAGGTGAAGTAATGTAATGTAATGTAGTGGAATTTGGTATAGCGCATTATACCGAAGTCTCAATGCGCTGGTGATGTGTGGACTAAGAACTCAATCAATGACTTTCTTCGCCCCTAAGGGTCCCTTCATGTCTGTGCTACCCGGTAACCCGGTACCAGCAACTCTCGTCAGCAACTCTCGTCGTCCACCACAGGGGCTGTCTGTTCCAGTACACCGGGGTATCCCCCTACTTGTCTCGAAGGATGTACTGGGTTCTTTATAGTGCACACGAGCCATTGTATACACTGGGCCTACGGTTTATAGTCCTTATCCGATAAGTGTGAGGGATTACGTGGGGAGGGGGAGTTGCGAAAGTGAAGTGGAAGGGAATGCGCTACACAGCGTACCCAAGTAGGTACACCAAACTATGTCACGTCAATTTGTAGATGTAGACGCGCCCACAACAAATTATAAGGAGCAAACAAGATGAAGAAAATTCATTGAGATAAGATTACCAACCTGAACCTGCTCAATAGATGGATGTTGTGAGAGAACATTTTCTATGTCGGCGGGAAAAATCTTTATACCACCCCTGTCTATCATATCCTGTGTAAACAAAAATAAAATTCTATTGAACGATAGTCTAATGCAAAGTAAAATGTTTCTTTTGTATATACCGATACACTATGTAAGGTACTCGGAGTTGTGGCGCCAGTGAGAGGGGAATCGAGAAGAGCTGTCACCCCCACCACTCCCGCAGGGGAAAAAAACAATTCGTCGGTGTAAACAAAATATACAGAATGTGAGACTAAAATTGATTAAACAAGTCTTTCAAATCATCCATAAATTGAGTTTCTGGAACTTTGACCTCTGGACCACCTCTGAGATAATAAGTTCTGGCCTGCCCCTACCCCTGCCCGCGGTCACGTATGCTCCCGGGAAAATCTGCCTTCAGCAGTCGCATATACCAGCCTCCACCCATCGGCGATGTCTTCGGACCCCCGTCGTGCAAGCTCTGACGCCACTTATTTGGATCTAGTGCAGGGTTGCGGATTACTTGTGTGAAATGTGAGGGGTTAGGTAGACTAAATGGAGTATCGATCAAACGTAACTATTGATCAACCAGAAGAGCGCCAGCAACACACGCTTCACGCTTGTCCCAAACCCACATGTCACGTGCCCACACACGCACGTGCTTACGTACGTTTACGCGCTCGTTTTGTGGCATTTACAAACAATAGGGAGCTTTCGATTGCACGACGACGGTAGGACGTAGAACATAATGACGTCACTAAAAGTCATCTGCGCATGCGAGGACGTTAAGGTCATCTCGTCGAGTAGATTCTGAAACGCAATTTGGCCAAATCTACGTATGTAAGAACGTAGGACTCCCGGTAGGACGGTCAAGCATGAGTGGTTCCGTTCTAGCGTCGCATCGTCGCACAAATCGAAAATCGAAAGGTCCGTTTTGTTTGGGGATTAACTTCTTCTTTGACAATGAAGATAAACGTGTGGCTATTTTAAATATTATTACCTTTTTTCTCCCGACTATTGACAGGACACCAGCCGCGTTAAAAACACCAAGGTCACTAAAGTAAATATCAATATTACAAATATTTCATAATAGAAATTTATTTACATATTCATGATTTACTAATTTACTATTGTGAACAATAATGATGATGATGATGATAAAGATTGAAGATGATAAAGATGATGATGATGATGATAATGATGATGATGATGATGATAATGATGATGATGATGATGATGATTGCTAGTTATTTTTCACGTACCTTTCGACGTTTCTATTAGTTAGGAAATAATAATATTTAAGCCGGACGCACTGCGCCGTACGACTATCGTACGACAACGACCATCGGCAGACGAAACCATATCCGTTTTGTTTGAGTGCATAACTACACGACGAAATCTGACTGTCAGTGACAGCAAAGAGTGGGGAGAGCGGGACTAGTTGCATCGGGGGCAAGTTGCATCACAGGGGTTTTCTTTAAACATGAACATATTAGGCTCTGGCAACCACACCCATCGCCTAATAGCACACCAAAGTTTGACGCGATCCAGTAAAGCTTGAATATTTTAACAAAGAAATCGTTATTTTTACCCATGCAAGTAAAATTTTGATGCATTGGTTTGGTATATGGGCCTATATTGCACTAAGGTAATGTTGATGAATATCGTAAGTTAAGAGTTATACTTTTATATTTTTGTGAACAGTATAGATAATTAAAAACTTTAAATTAATACTTGTTTTATATTTTTACAGATACAGCACTTGAACAATGGTAAGACGATACATTCCAAAGAAAAATAGGGAAGGGCCCAGAGGAACTGAAGCGAGCGGCAAGCACATTTTTATTGATTGAGAGACTGCCTGTGCCAAGTGTCGCAAAGGACAACAATGTGCATTATATAGCAATGTAGCACACTCAACAGATTAGTGAACAGGTTAAATAAGGGTATGGGGGCGATGATTATGTAGAGTATACCATTTTTGTCAAGAATATTGAAATCCATGCTTTAGAATACACGCTATAATGTTATTTTTTCTTGGATAATTATCAAAGGATATAGTATTGGAAGTTGGACTTCAAAATATATTTTGTTGTTTATATAATTCTGCTAGAGGACGGGGCAATTTGCATCATTAAAAAAAAGGTCTCGTAAGTTCGAAAGCTCCGATGAGGGCAGTATAATAGAGGCAGTAGAGTGTATTGGCCCTAACGGCCGCCCATACAAAAAAGATCTATTAAGCAAACAGCACAGGAAAATCTATTCATAAATCAGCCGGGTATTCATAGAGCTCCTCATGAGAGCGCTAAAAATAATATTCAACCCTTAGTATTTCTATAAAAATTAACTTATGTGTTATGATTTTACTTTTAGTAGTATGTCAATCTGACGTTACCCTCAGTTAGTTTATTTGACATTGCATCTCCTTTTCAAAAGATATTAACAAAAGTATAAAAAAATGATGCAACCAGCCCCGCTATAGAATGGATTCTCATTGGCGACAGTCCGAGCGAATCGTTATCAAAGCGATCGTCGCCGTTGCACGCGCCAGTAGCATTGCGTTCTTTTTATGGGAATAGCGTCAGCCGACGGCCGTCTATACGGCGGGCCCGGAGATAATTACCCAGTTTTAAACCACCCGTGGGGCGATTTAGCTGCTTTCGTCTGTTCATCATTCCCCATGTATCTCTGAAAGTTACTACAACAGCGGCACCAAATTTCACCATTACTGCCAAGAGGTACACACTTTCCGTCATCATCAACCAACTGTATCTAGAAGTTGAATTAACAAACATAATCATTATCATGTGAGTTAAGTTATGTTTTGGAAACGTTTAAGTGTTGAAACCTGCGTGCAGGCACCGTATCCATTTACCTCTGCATTTGGCAATATTCGAACTCCAGAACACCGCGCCTCCAATGGGTCCCACGGAGAGCTTATGGATGGTACCATCATTTCAGTTGAAGCATACGCTATCTGGAATTTAATGAATGTGATTTAGGCCTAGTTAAAAAGTATGCTGTCATAATTCAGGATTTATACTATGGTAATATTTTACAGTCACATACTCGTACATTTAAAGATACATATATACAGACAAAACAGACTACTTACCAGAATTTTGCAAGCAAATTTTTCTTCAAAGTCCTTCGCCAATTTTGGAGGGATGTTTGATCCTCCGGTTAAACCTAATAATTTGAAGAAGAACATTGCTGCGATGTAATAACTATTATTTAATAATATCATCTACTTATGTAAAGGGTGTTTCGAGTGCACAATTTTGTTGATAAACCATAATCCTCTAAAAATTCAAAATGCTTCATGAGTAGCCCTTTTTATTGGAAATAGGTGCCAATTAAGTTAATAGTTACGTACAAATATCGAGAGAGGTTACATCATATTCTCCGATGTCCTTGAAGTTCAACATGTCGTATAGATAAGTAATTAAGAAGAGCACATCAGTACACCTTCGGAATTAAAGAATAGAACAAAAAATACTGTATTAAGGTATGTTTGATTGAAAAGGATCATAACGGATATCCGAATGCCTATAATTATTTTTAGGAATGGTGTTGGTGTTATTTGGAGGTTGTGTGTTCAATTCCCACCCGAATTAATTGTGAGACTTTTTTGCAAGTATTTGCAAACGTACTAAGCATTTCGTACGATAACACGTCATGAATGGCAAAATATTATTTTCCTATTCCCACTTGTGAGATTTTTCGCAAGTGTTTGGAAACGTACTGAACATTCCGTTCGATAACACGTCATGTAGGGCAAACACCTTCCCTAATAAATCTCCTGACGAAAACACCATCGGAATAGCATTACACTACCAACTGCTGCTTGAGGATCGGATTCAACACTAGCCACTAAGCACAAGCTCGGTGGTTTAGTGGTTAAGACACCAGACTAGTTATCTGGAGGTCGTGGGTTCGATTCCAAGCCGAATCACTTCCGATGTTTCTTCGCAAGTATTTTGGAACGTACTGAGCATTCAGTAGACCTAAGATAACACGTCAGGAAGGGCAAAACACTTCCTTTAAAGGCTACCAGTACCTTTCATTTTGAATTGTCTGCACAATCTGTTTTATGTTGTACACAGGGGGCGCAAACACTGACGTCATAGAAGCCACCAATGGGGACAACACCCCACTTCCTTCTCCACTAATATGAGCTGTATTAAGCCCAAGAATGATTCTTCGATTCTGACAGAAAGCAATTTCCAAAACTTTTAGGCCTACTAGTACAGAAAAAGGTATGAACACATACAATAAATATGTCCTTCTGTCATTCCTTCGATATCCTTTCCCTCTAATTTTACATTGCTATGATGACGCATGCTCGTGTCAAAGTCAATCGACATAAACAAACATTACACAAAACATAGGTTTATGTCGATCGGCCTTGGATACAACGGGATACGCACATGCGCAGTTTAAACTACGAATTGGCTTATTGCGTCTTAAAACCTAATATGTAATTCTCTTAGTTATTCAGGTAGGTGTGACACCCTAACATTATGTTTCCTTCTTTAGTTGAGAGTACGTGGAAGATGTGCCATTATCATCAATGCTCTTCCCTTAGCCCCAACCATGGTGTGGTTCAGGTGGTTTACACCCTCCATCTGTGGAAGTCCCTCCCTGGTCCCTCTATTTGAAATTCATGGACCCGCCATTGCAATTACATTTTATTTCATTTTATTAAATATTAAAATGGCAGTCGAGGACTGTATTAAATGATACTGTACTTACAATAATACAGAACAGTAATATAAAACCACCAAATGATTAATTATTAATTAACAATACACATACTGCACAGACATTCAGAAAAAAGAATAAAAACATTAAAAATTTTGGTAAATTGTTTAATTTTACGTGCCAACAATTTTCTTTATTAGTTTAGAACAGTTGCTGAGACCACATAGGCACCCCTTGAAATAGTTACGAATGTTTCGATTATCATTAGTATATATACTAGCTTGGGCCATTAAAGCACTTCTTAATATGAGTTTTCTGAAAAAGTGAATCAGTGTAGGCCTACCTTGTCCTACATTCTTTAAGTTCAAACTCGGCTCCTGAAAATTTAAACTGTTTGAGCTTTCGGGGATTCCACATCTCCCAGAGGAAATTGACGGCTCCCAGCAAACCCACACCCCACTCGCCATAATGGGGAGCTTTCGATTGCACAACGACGGTAGGACGTAGAACGTAATGACGTCAGTAAAAGGCATCTGCGCATGCGAGAACGTTAAGGTTACCTCGTCGAGTAGATTGTGGAACGCAATTAAGCCAAATCTACGTACGTAGAGAACGTAGGACGCCAGGTAGGACGGTCACGCATAAGTGATTCCGTTCTAGCGTCGCGTTGTCGCACAAATCGAACACTCGCCATAATTATGGGCATACAACAGTTTTCTGTCAAAGAACATTTGATAATCTGGACCATGACTGGAAGCATTATTTTTTCCCCATAAATAGTGCCCTCTATAATTTCTGCCGGAACTGTATGAGAAAAAAATAATGCTGTCTGCACAGAGCTACAATGATTTAAAATACTTAATCTACAGACAAGTGATCCTCCAGTTTTCTCACTTACCTCTTTATTTGGCATTCCTTCAAGGTAGTAAAACATACCCTTTACTCCATTAATCACACTAAAATGTGTATGAACCGCGTACTTCGGTTTACCAGTAGATCCCTAAAGAAATGATATCAGGATCCACTCTAACAAATTGTATGTGAAAAATGTGCGTGAATTGCCCATATATGGACTTGGTAATAGCATACCACATCCATATATGGCAAGGATGATGTCATATCACATCCATATATGGACACAATACCATACCAAAATATATGTAAATTACAGGTATTTGTCACATGAAGTGTGGATAGGCTTTAAGCGTATTTAATTATATACATCTGCGTGCTAAATATGGACACTATTACAAACTTGAGCAGTCACTCCATAGTGCATACCTCCGCCCTGCTCCTGAATACCAATGATACGCTGGCCGTGTATGGGCGAAACTGCAGCATATCCTCAAGAAAATAATTGAATCGCCCGTTGTATTCAGGCACATTGTTTTTAATTGAGTGCTGTAGCATACCCTAAACAAATAATGGAACCGCCCGTCGTATTCAGGCACATGCTTTCTTGAGAGTTGCCAAAACACGAGGGGCAATTCCACTCTTTTCTTTTATGCTCGAGGGTTAAAAATCGAGTTTTCGTGCCCATAATTGTGTCTGTTGACCTTTGTTTTCAAAATGAATGGTATCTTTCTTCGATTATTATGTACCATTCCACTAAATGTTAAGATGATCGATTCATTAGTTTTTGCGTAACCTTGCTAACAGACAGACATATAGACAAACAGCAGTGAATACATGACCTCCGTGGCAGAAGTCAAACGCTGACGTCATTTTGTGTGATTATGAGGTTATAAACGATACACAGTATTTATGTATTTATAAGTATGTTATTAAAGTATATATCTTACTGAAGTAATGAAAATGTCGCTGTCATCATCAAAAATAACTTCGTCCTTTTTGAGCTTGAAGAGTTCAACAACTTTAGGATCTGACCCAAGCTTCTCAATATCATTGACATCACATGCTCCACTATAAGGAAATAGTTACGTCGTCAGTTACAAAGAAAGAGATGGTAATAAAAGGCCTGACCGACTACCTTGGAGTTCTAGGTCTAGTATTGCCGGGGAGAGTAAATAGGGGCGGATATAGGGGCGCATGGGGGCTAGGGCTTTCCCAAATAGTAAGCAAAAAGAAAAGAAAAAATAAAAAGAAGAAAAAAAAATAAAGGAAAAAGAGAGGAGTACGGACTCCAAACCACCTAATTTCGGTTTAAAGTCCATGTACATTCGTCATGTTCAAGCATTTATAGGCAAAATATCTGGCAAACAACACCCCACTACCCCCTCCCACGCTTGGTGCGTTGAACTTCGCATAGCCCCTACCCAGACTTTTCTCAAGGATCCGCCCCTGGTGAACTTTGGCTTCAACTTCAACTTACCTTTTATTATTCTTACTAACACCAATAATTACATCTAGATGCATAGTTCTGTGAAATTTAAAACATCATTAGATATTTTAATGAAGGCTTGATTTTAAGTAAACATCTGTCTCTTATACACATCTAGATGTGTATAAGAGACACGATCTATAATGATAAGGAATATTTTGGAGTAGAGTTGAATAGCTTGGTGGTTAAGATGCTTACTTTTCAATCCCAGAGTAATGGATTAATTCTTGTACGTCACGGTAACAGGATTTTTCCTCACAACCAAAACCACTCCATTCCCTAGCCTCATAATGAGAGAATGTATGTATGTGTTTTTGGTTTTGTGATGTAATTGTTCCATAATTGTGAGGAGGCAACAGAAAATGAACAGCGGCCATATGCCTCTGTGCAAAATTTCTGTACTACAAACAGGTTCTTCTATGCAGACCTTAGAGTGCGTTTTGGGTGGTGTGCCGGTATCAGATTCATTAACTACTGCTTTGTATTATGAAGTCTGGTCTTAATTATCACTAAAAGTATATCAAAAACAATTTGTTTGGACGTTTCCAACCAATGAAAGTTACTAAGGACAGGTGTGATAATGTTCATGCCTCTTTGTTTTAGTGATGATTCTTGCTGCACAATTTTGTATTCTTTGCAGTTTAAAAATTTCGGAGAGCCAAACAGTAAACCATTGCAGTAATCCAGTCTTGATGTAACAAATGCGATGTGGAGAGGTGAGAGATGCGTGTGTAGTTTAAGTAGGCCTATGCCCTATGTACGTTTCTGCATTGAAGATATTAATGTCAATAGCTTACTTCGTTACACCTTCAGCACTTATTGTTCTGATGTCTTCTAATCTATCAAACAGGTTATTGGGGGTCCTTCCTAATACAATCACTTTACAATCCGTCTGCAAATAATTGTTCATACAAACATGGTTGAGTAGGCGATTATGAGAACTACCGTACTAATAATCATAAGCTTTATGTTTATCATAAAAATTATATGTGGTATAAAATGTGATTGATTGATGGAATGATTGAAAGACTGACTGACTGGTTGATTATAATAGGCCTACCATATTATATACAATAATACAAATAAAATAAAAATTCTTGAAAATTTCAATGTAAATTGTAAATACATTTAAAAAATACAACGAATTAATGAAAATAACAAATGCTAAAAAATAGTGTAAGCCAAATTTCATGTTGTAGTTAATAATTATTTATTATCATCATTGTCATCATCATAGTCATCATCATCATTAAATATTAATACAATGCAACGACATTTGTATAGAAATATGGCATTGACTATGAAAGAGATTCCACTACGGCTCATCGTTTCTTCACGAGGATCACCAACCTACCCTCTCGCAGAGTCATCATATAACCAACTCTCAACACTTTGTGAAGACCATCCGGGATGTTTAGCTCGAATCTACAGACACTCTAGTTCGCTTTGACATAAAATCACTATTCACCAATGTACCGGTCAAGGTCAAGTACCTTTTCTTTACGTTTTGGTAACCAGACAGGACACATGGACTTTGTCACATGCAGTCTATCGCAAACTACGGAAGCCCGTTAGTGCCACCAGTGAATTAAAATTTAAAAACCGTTAAGTGGCGGCCGCCACTTATTATCTGGCAGGCGCCAGAAAATTATCTGGCGGCCTCCACATAATTATCTGGCGGCCGCCACTTAATTATCTGGCGACCGCCACTTATTATCTGGCGGCCACCACGTACACTCGGTATAGTGTTAAACTCGATACAGAACTGGCCACTAAAGCGCAGGATTGTCTTAGCATTAAATACCATTTAAAATCATCTAGCTGGTCATTAGCTACAGCTTTTAAGCCTATAAAAGCAGTCATATAGCATCCATTTTGCAGAATATAGCAAATATCTTTTCTGTAGCACATCAACTATCTTGTATGTCATGGTATAGTTGCTGTTTAATCATAGTGATAATATCAACTGCTATTGCTGGGTAAAGCATTAAAAGACATTAAATACGGTAGTGTTTAAAAGCATGGTAGCTGGTCACTATCTAGCTTATAATATCAATTGTATAGCACCAATTCACAAAACATAGCAATTAAAAGCATGTTAGTAGCTGCAACAATGATTTAACTGCATTTTGACTATAAAACGTTTGCGATGATAGGTGTTAGGTTTAAGCACGCCAGCAGTTTACCATTTACCATTAAAGGCTTTTGCGCCTATAGGGTTAGGCACGTCAGCAGATTACCGTTGAACAGACGTTTGCAACGATATGCGTTAGGGTTAAGCACATCAGGCGTTGGCGCAGATAGGCGTTAGCGTTAAGCACTTAAGCAGATTACCATTTAAAAGGCGTTTACAACGATAGGCATTAGGGTTAAACACGTCAGCAGTTTACCATTGAATATGCGTTTGCGATGATAGGCGTTAGGGTTAAGCACGTCAGGGGTTTGCAACAACAGGCGTTATGGTTAAGCACGTCACCTGTTTACCATTGAATAGGCCTTTGCGAACGAAAGGCGTTAGGGTTAATTTGTGGATTAAGTTTGGAGCACGTCAGCAATTTACCATTGAATAGACGTTTGCGACGATAACAAATAGGAAAAATAACATATTTAATTGCAAATGACCGGTGAAAATGCCTATTTATTAGCGTACACAGTTCCTACTGGCGACTTCTGAAATTCTTATTAACCCTAATTTCTATTCATTAATGCAATGGCTGGCGCGAATACCTATTTATTAGCGGACATGGTAAAATGGCTGACATGCTTATCCCTAAAGCCTATCGTCGCAAACGCCTGATGACGTGCTTAAACCTAACGCCTATCGTCGCAAACGCCTATTTAATGACTTTCTTTTAATCGCTATTTAATGCTTCCTAGAAATGTTATATTTTGTGAAATGGGTGCTATGACTGCTATTATAAGCTATAACTATTGTATAACAGCTACGAACATGCTTTTAATCGCTATTTAATACTTAACCCTGTGATTGCTAATGGGTGCTATATGACTGCCATTATAAGGTACGGTATAGCTGGTGACCAGCTACCTGTATGCTTTTAATCACTATTTAATGCCCTTTAATAATTAACCCAGCTATAACAGAAAATATCACAATGATTGAATAGCAAATATAGAACATATAATACAGTTGATGTGCTGCAGCAAAGATATTGATATATTTTGTGAAGTGGCTATATGACTGCTATTATAAGCTATTACAAGCTGTAGCTAAAATTACTAGCTAGGCCTACTACGATGCTTATTAATGCTACCGTATTTAATGCTTGGCCCGTTCCACATCGAGAATCAAGCTATACCGCAACCTGGGTACTACATAAATAAGTGGCGGACGCCACATAATTAAGAAGCGGCTGCCAGATAATAGGCATTTTTCGTTTTGACTACGCGGCCAGTCTACTACGAACTAATGGACCGTGACGCAACGCCAAGACACCGTTCGCGTACTACACCAAGAGCTGTTTTCGTTTTTTTAAGGCGACTACGACGACACAGCACACGTACTAGGCCTACGGAGGGGAGTTAGTCGACCATGGTTTTATTACCAGAGAACAATGTTCCCTTGTTTTATATTTGAAGAAATATAAAACAATATAGGAAATACTGTATACAAAATAAAAAGTTTCCAGAAAACACTGAGTGATGT